TACATTACATTACATACATTACATACATTACATTACATTACATTACATTACATTACATTACATTACATACATTACATACATTACATACATACATACATTACATACATTACATACATTACATACATAACATACATACATACATACATACATCCATGCATACATACATACATACATTACATACATTACATACATTACATACATTACATACATTACATACATTACATACATTACATACATTACATGCATTACATCCATTACATACATTACATACATTACATACATTACATACATTACATACATTACATACATTACATACATTACATACATTACATACATTACATACATTACATACATTACATACATTACATACATTACATACATTACATACATGACATACATTACATACATTACATACATGACATACATTACATACATTACATACATTACATACATTACATACATTACATACATTACATACATTACATACATTACATACATTACATACATTACATACATTACATACATTACATACATTACATACATTACATGCATTACATCCATTACATACATTACATACATTACATACATACATACATACATACATGCATGCATGCATGCATGCATGCATGCATGCATACATACATTACATACATTACATTACATTACATTACATTACATTACATTACATTACATTACATTACATTACATACATACATACATACATACATTAATTACATACATTACATACATTACATGCATTACATACATTACATACATTACATACATTACATACATAACATACATAACAAACATAAAGTACATACATACGTACGTACATACATACATTACATACATTACATTACATTACATTACATTACATTACATTACATTACATACATACATACATACATATATTACATACATTACATTACATTACATTGCATTACATTGCATTACATTACATTACATTACGTTACATTACATTACATTACATACATGCATGCATACATACATGCATACATGTGTAGATATATATATATATATATCATTTATCTTTTAATTTATTTATACATATAAATTTAAATTTCTATATATATATATAACTCAAAGAATAATCATTGACCAAAGGAAGTTGGGAAGCAATACTTCCGTGTTACGGACAAATAGAATTGAGAGACTTGACCTTGATGCAGGGTGGTGTGAGACTTGACATCACATAACAATACAGGTGTGAGACTTGACATCACATAACAATACATCACAAAAGACTTGACCTTGGTGAAGGGTGGTGTGAGACTTGGCCTCACATAACAATACAGGTGTGAGACCTGACATCACATAACAATACACCACAAAAGACTTGACCTTGATGAAGGGTGGCGTGAGACTTGACATCACATAACAATACAGGTGTGAGACTTGGCATCACATAACAATATATCACAAAAGGATTGACATTGATGAAGGGAGGTGTGAGACTTGACGTCACATAACAATACATCACAAAAGGATTGACATTGATGAAGGGCGGTGTGAGACTTGACATCACATAACAATACATCACAAAAGAATGGCTGCATGAATGTTGCGTGGTGCTTGTTTTGGGGAGGAAGCCGGAGCACGAAACCTTGTATTTTTCAATGTAAAGTGGTTGCAGCCGGCGATGAAAGGTAGCTCGTGTGCGGCTGGGGTCGTTTCTGTCGCGAATTGGTTCCTCCTCTGTGTTCTGCACTGAGTGGTTGTGTCTATGTGCGTCGTTCTATGCGTTTCTTGAATCTGTGATTGCAGATCGCAGTGGAATGGCTGCATGACTGTCGTCATCTGATGTTGCCACGCGCGTAGATATGTGCAGGTTTGCGACGGGATGCTGCGAAACGCATTGGAATGGCTGCATGAATGTTGCATGGGCTATGTTTTGGGGAGGAAGCCGGAGCACGAAACCTTGTATTTTTCCGTGTAAAGTGGTTGCAGCCGGCGATGAAAGGTACCTCGTGTGTGCGGCGGGTGCGGCTGGGGTCGTTTCTGTCGCGAATGGGTTCCTCCTCTGTGTTCTGCACTGAGTGGTTGTGTCTATGTGCATCGTTCTATGCGTTTCTTGAATCTGTGGTTGCAGATCGCATTGGAATGGCTGCATGATTGTTGTAATCTGGTGTTGCCATGTGCGTAGAGAGATGCGGGTTAGCCACGTGATGCTGCGAAACGCATTGGAATGGCTGCATGAATGTTGCATGGGCTTTGTTTTGGGGAGGAAGCCGGAGCACGAAACCTTGCGTTTTTCAGTGTAAAGTGGTTGGCGCAGGCGATGAAAGGTACCTCGTGTGTGCGGCGGGTGCGGCTGCCGTCGTTTCTGTCGCGAATTGGTTCCTCCTCTGTGCGCTGCAACGAGTGGTTGTGTCTATGTGCGTAGTTCTATGCGTTTCTTGAATCTATCGTTGCAGATCGCAGTGGAATGGCTGCGTCAAGGTTGCTGGGCGCCGCGGCTGCATGCGTAATACTATTGTCTTTTGCAACTGAACATCGTAAATCGTATTGGAGTGGCTGGATCCAGGCTGCGATAGTGATTTGTCAGGAGACTTTCGCAATTTTGGTATAATAATTTTCCTTTTAAAAATCCTTTTAAAAAGTGCTTCAAAATCGTCTTTTTTTCGCTTCGGCGTCGAGATCCGGTTTTGGAGCTGCAATTCCTGTTGTGATTATGTACAAGAAAGCTTCTCTGTGCAAGAACTTTTTTCTGTAAAAGCTTGCTGTGTGAAAATTATTTTGTGTGTAAAAGCTAGCTGTGTGTAAAAGCTTCTCTGTGTGTAAAAGCGTCTCTGTGTAGAAGTTTCTGTGTGTGTGTGTAAACGCTTGCCATGTGTAAAAGCACTGTGTGTAAGTGTTCTGTGTGTAAACGCTTGCTGTGTGTGAAAGCTTGCTGTGTGTAAAAGCTTCTCTGTTGAAAAAGCTTGCTGTGTGTAAACGCTTGCCATGTGTAAAAGCACTGTGTGTAAGTGTTCTGTGTGTAAACGCTTTCTGTGTCTGAAAGCTTGCTGTGTGTAAAAGCTTCTCTGTGTAAACGCTTGTTGTGTGTAAAAGCTTCTGTGTGTAAAAGCTTCTCTGATTAAAAAGCTTGCTGTGTGTAAAAGCTTCTCTGCGAAAGAACCTGCTGTGTGTAAAAGCTTTCTTTGTGCCAACTTTGTATCACAACGTAGTACTGGGACGTACTTTGTGCAAGGTTTGTAGTACAAAGTAGTACTGGGAAGTGCTTTGCGCAAGCTTCGTAGTACAAAGTAGTACTGGGAAATACTGTGTGCAAGCTTTGTAGTACAAAGTAGTACTGGAAAATACTTTGTGCAAGCTTTGTAGAACAAAGTAGTACTGGGACGTACTTTGTGCAAGGTTTGTAGTACAAAGTAGTACTGGGAAGTGCTTTGCGCAAGCTTCGTAGTACAAAGTAGTACTGGGAAATACTGTGTGCAAGCTTTGTAGTACAAACTAGTACTGGGAAGTAGTTTGTGCAAGCTTTGTAGTACAAAGTAGTACTGGGAAGTAGTTTGCGCAAGCTTTGTAGTACAAAGTAGTACTGGGAAGTGCTTTGCGCAAGCTTCGTAGTACAAAGTAGTACTGGGAAGCAAGCTTTGTAGTACAAAGTAGTACTGGAAAATACTTTGTGCAAGCTTTGTAGAACAAAGTAGTACTGGGACGTACTTTGTGCAAGGTTTGTAGTACAAAGTAATACTGGGAAGTAGTATGTGCAAGCATTGTAGTACAAAGTAGTACTGGGAAGTGCTCTGTGCAAGCTTTGTAGTACAAAGTAGTACTGGAACGTGTTTTGTGCAAGCTTTGAAGTACAAAGTAGTACTGGGAAGTACTTTTTGCAAGCTTTGTAGTACAAAGTAGTACTGGGAAGTACTTGTGCAAGCTTTGTAGAACAAAGTAGTACTGGGATGTACTTTGTGCAAGGTTTGTAGTACAAAGTAGTACTGGGAAGCAGCTTTTGCAAGTTTTTTGTAGTAGACATCAGTACTGGGAAGTAGTTGACATGAAAATAGCCAAGAAGAACTTATATAGCTGACATATGGGAAGACATGAAATGAGATGAGAAGAGCTCAGATGAGATGAGTTGAGATGAAGTGCAAGTGTGAAGTGTGGAGTGTGGGGTGTGAAGAGTGCAATGTGAAGTGTGAGGAAAGTGTTTGCTTGGCGTTGCATTGCACCGGGGTCGCGCGGTCATGTTCTTGGACAACAACACTGCAACAGCTTCGCACGAAGCACGCACGCACGGGCCTGGCTGGCGCACGGCGCATGCAAGTTCTCGAAGTAGTACTGGGAAGTGATTCATGAAAGCTTAGATGACATATGAGAAGAGATGAGATGAGATGAGATGAGATGAGAAGAGCTCAGATGAGATGAGTTGAGATGAAGTGCAAGTGTGAAGTGTGGGGCGTGAAGAGTGCAGTGTGAAGAGTGAAGAGTGCAGTGTGAAGAGTGAAGTGTGAAGTGTGGGGCGTGAAGAGTGCAGTGTGAAGAGTGAAGAGTGCAGTGTGAAGAGTGAAGTGTGAAGTGTGGAGTGTGAGTGTGAAGAGTGAAGCGTGGAGTGTGAAGAAAGCAGTGAGAATTGAGAAGTGTGAAGTGTGGACTGTGAAGTGTGAAGTGTGGAGTCTGGAGTGCGAAGAGTGCAGTGTGAAGTGTGAAGTCTGGAGTGTGAAGCGTGAAGTGTGGAGTGTGAAGAGTGCAGTGAGAAGTGTGAAGTGCGAAGTGCGAAGTGGAGCTTCAAATGTGACATGTGAAACAGGACACCACTTTCGCAGAATGCACGCACGCACGGGCTTGGCTGGCGCACGGCGCATGCAAGTTCTATAGATGAGAAAGGTCTTATATATCCCTAAGGCAACTTCCGCCCCGCCTCGTGCGGGTACTACTGGTAATCCCCATGAAAGCAGATATACAGTAGAACCCCATGTTTCAGCATCCACCAGGGATTTTGCTCATTGCTGAACTGTGTGCAAACTTCGCACATGTCAAGTGTCCATATTTCGTATCATGGTCCGCTGCCGCTTGTCCAAGGATGGACTTTTGGCATGGGTGAAGTGGCAATATCCACAGGCATCCCCCAATTCGCATTCTCCTGAGGTCGCAATCAAAAGGGCCCAAATCCGCCCACCGGGCACCCAAGAATATGCAACTTTCCAAACTCAAGTCATGATCCCAATTGATTGCAAGCTGGAAAGAAAAGAAGCTTTGCAATAGCTAAGTTGGTGTATAACTAAGCTGGGGCTTACGGTGGATATATCTGCAGTTAGACGAGACAAAATAAACCAACTTACTTCTCTAGGGGCACTCTCTTTGTATCACTCAAAAAAATGCAAAAAAATACAGTCCTTTGGCAAAATGGATGCATGGACGCCTGCACAACTGCGGATGTCCACGGCTTCCACAATTGCTGCGGTCTGTGTCACTCGTAACTGGTGGCACAGCTGCTGCTGCTGATGCTGCTGCTGCTGCTATCTCCACGACAGGGGCCACCACGGGCGCTGCATCAAGTGGCGCCGGTGCTGGCCGCGGATGGAAGTTGGTGAATGCACGCTGCTCCAACTGGACTGTGTAGTCCGCTTGGAATGTGTCCTGTGGAAACTTTGGAAAAAAAGTGAGTTAACTGAAATTGCTGACATCCTATTTAACAAAGAAAACAAAACAGCATACACCCGAGCTTCAAATTCAAACGAAGTGAATTTTGGTAAACAAGAAGGCGCAAATTCATGAAGCCACAAGCCTCCTCTGAAGCTTCCATCGCTGGGCGTCCCAGTGCTGGCTGGCTCTTGGAGCGAGCCATAGCCTCTGCTGGTGGTTCCTCGTCGATGAAGGTACGAAGATAACGAAAATGCGCCATGGAAACACCCCGCTGATTCAGCTCGTGAATTTGAGGCATAAAGCTCAACCGTACCATCCAGCACTCCCGCCCATGTGTCTCTAGCCATGTTTCCCAGACCAATTTCAGGTCCCTGGTGCCTAGGATTTTTTCCCTGGTTCATAGGCCCGGCTAGCTCCCCAATTTTTACAAACTTATCACATTTATAACTGGGATATGGGAGATGTTTTTTTTTGAATGAGTTCCCCCCCGACAAAGATTGTTGAGATTTCATGATTCTCTCTATTGAATTGTTTGGCAATAAAAATTGGGCTGTCCATCCTTTTGAGCCATCCCACTCCTACCCGTTCTATCCGGTTTTCCATGTTTTTTCCATGTTTCTTGTACTCACTGTACTCTTTCCCACTCCTTCCCAGCTCGCAACAAAGCACCACTTTTTCACACCAATGCCATCATGGTAGCACCAGAAAATACTTAGCTCCCCCGGGGTACCCAACTTGAGGCCGGGGGTGGATGACGAAAGCTAGCGGGGTAGGAGAAAGAAGGAAGGGAAGAGGTGAGTTGCGGAGGGACTGTCATCATCGTGTCGCGGCATTGTTCGTCCCAACGAGGATGCAACAATGATATATGATATATGATATATAACAATGATATATATGGGGGAGGGGGCAGGGGGGGGGCCCTTTCGCGTGAAAAAGCACGTGATGTCCTTGGGGAGCCCCGGAATACTTGCTAAAGCAAGAAGACTCTAGCGAGCTGACGCTAGCTTTCGTGATAATGCCAAGAATTGCCAATAATGATAAAATGTAATTGATTGACGATGATGGTGATGATGATGATGATGATGATGATGACGATGACGATGACGAGGACGATGACGATGACGAGGACAAGGACGAGGACAAGGACGATGATGATGATGATGATGATGATGATGACGATGACGATGACGATGGCGAGGACGATGACGATGATGATGATGACGACGATGATGACGATGATGATGATGATGATGATGATGGTGGTGGTGGTGGTGGTGGGGGGGGTCCCCCGTTCGCGTGAAAAATCACGTGATGTCCTTGAGCAGCCCCCGGAATACTTGCTAAAGCAAGAAGACTCCAGCTAGCTGACGCTAGCTTTCGTGAATACTCGGCAAAGTCCCCGTGTTTTGCCTTTCAATTTCTCCATTTATTCCTGGTAAAATTCTGCGGAAGTCCAAGGTGCTGATAGATCTTTTCTGTGTTGAAGTCGATGCGGTCCAGGACGGTTCCCTGGGGCTTGGCTTGATGAGCCATGAAAAAATCCCTGGGAAAGCTGGGCTTTACAACTCAAATATGGCCAGGAGCGCAGATTGATCCCTCAAGCCGATTCTCACTTATCAGACTTATCACCATCGAAACAATTTTGGGAAAGGAAAGACACGAGAAGCGATGACGAAAAGTGGGATGAGGATGAGAATCCTTGATGACGCTGGGACCCAAGTGGAAATATGACGATCCCATTTTGTAATGCCATGATGGTAAAAGAAAGACAAGAGATGGTGAAGCGGGTGATAGTGGGACAATGGAAAGTCAGAAACCCAATGTCGGGCTGATGCATCTTCAGCCACCGGGATTTCGGTCGCATCTTCAGTGCCCATCGGTCGCAGTGGGTGGATGGGAAACCCCAGGGGGACCCCAATTTTGACCACCAAGTTTCACAGCAATGTGCTGTGAGCATTGGCGAACAAGTGAAAAGAAAATTACATTACATATCGCATTACCATTTGATGTGTATATACATATATACAGACATACACATCTACATACATGCGAATTAATTACACGTGCGATACATGGCACCTACACTTACATAGTCATGTGCACAATTACATGTATATAATGTGTTTGCATAAACATTCAGGCTACGTTGCATTCCGTATATCATTCAAAGCATGTATCTTAAAGAAGTCTTAAGTATCATGCATCTCATATAAGATTCGTATGTATATGTGTATATATAGAGCTTCTATAGACTGGATATGAGCACACATATTGTATTGGAATGATATATATATATCATTTACGAACTGAGGATGATCTCATTGACAAATAAATATTGACATATTTAATATTAAGATATAATATACTTCATCGTCTGCAATCTTCACTCCTTCCAGCTTCCAAGTGCATCTCCACACCTGATCAATGACCAGCGATGCCAAGTCCTTGAAGATGCGGTTTAGCCTTGGAACCGACGGAACCCAGGAATTCTTCGCCAGCTTAGATTTTTAGAGGTGGAAACATGAACACACCAAGAAACCAAGAATTCATGGGGTTTTGTCGGCTGTGTTGTGGAAAATCCGAACAATCCCATACGCCAGAGAAAATCATGCGGCTGTTGCTGACTTTTCCCTTGGCGTTTAGCAAAAACGAAATGGAAATTGATCTGATATCAACCCCGGATTTCGCTGAACCCTGGCCTCCTTTGATCCAGTGTGCCATGTCAGTCGCAGATGAAATCACTTTTGGGAGTATAATAAGTTAATAAGCGCGTTAATTAATATCAATCCAGGTTTGACATATTTAATATAAATCCACAAGACATCATACAATCAAACAAATGAGCGGAAGAAGTGCTTAGCAATTCTGGTGAGTTTCCCCGGTGATTGGGCAACTCCAGGAAAGGAAGATTACGAACTCAGATGAACTTCCACGATCTAAGATTGATGCATGGATTCTCTCATCGAATAAATGTTTTGTCTCTCTAAAAAAGAAAAAAAACATATCTTTTACATGTTTCAACATAATCGATGGGTTGCGAAAAGTCTTTGAGGAGTATGGAGCACCACATCATACTCCACCAAGAATGGGCGGCATAATCGCGGAGTTGGCGGACCGCATCATACCCCGAGCATTGGGAAAAATGAAACATGCTATCAATTAGTTTAGAAGATGGACTGAGCCTTAAGCTATTCGCATGCACATCAAACAAAGGCACTCAACAGGTTTTTCGCAGGTCCTGAAAGATCTGAAAGGGAGTTATTTCTTGGAACTCATGTCTCTTTTGGAACGGTGATGAGTTGAGCGTCAAATTGGTCCAATTCAGATCTTCCCATCAACAATTCAGTCCATTCAAGAGATGGCTCGAGTCAAGGACTAAAAACTGAAACAAATGGTGGCCTCCAATGAGTCTGAACTCCTTAACGCATTCGTACAACACCTTAAAGTCTCAGTTTGGGGTGCAGATGGGGCAATGGGATTTTTGGGAAGATCGCACCTGAGCCAGAGTTCCTGATTGTCGTCTTGTGCCCACATTTCACTAGGCATGGTTTCAAAGCTTGGATCCGCAAGATGGATCATAGTTCCAGCGTGATTCACTGCGAATTTGCCAAACTGATGGGAAAATACTCGGCTGCCTTGTGAGTTGAAAGCGATGTGATATCTCTACTATACACGGACTGTATGCATATACGTGTGAAGGGAGGGAGGGAGAGAGGTAGGGAGAGAGGTAGGGAGACAGGGAGAGAGCGAGGGAGGGGAGGGAGCAAGGGAGAGAGAGAGAGAGAGAGAGAGAGAGTGGGGGGGGGGTCGTGCCATTGACGGTTGGCGTCGATTTTGCGGCACCACCTCTTGTGCATGTAAGCAGGAATGGGTTAAGGTGTCTCGATACATGTAGCTGTAACCTGCAACTCTCTTTATACTGGCAATACAGCATAGGATTTATCACCGGCGCCAAGCGCCACTTTCAGAGCATGGGTGCTTTGCATTGTGGCGCGCCTGGTCCATCGGCCTCATCGGCCTCGTCGGCTTCATCGGCTCCATCGGCCTCATCGGCTCAGCTCCATCGGCCTCATCGGCTCCAGCTGCTCCATCGGCCTCATTGGCTCCAGCGGCTCCATCGGCTCCATCGGCCTCATCGGCCTCATCAGCTCCATCGTCGGCCAGCGGCTCCAGCGGCTCGAGCGGCCTCATCGGCTCCATCGGCCTCATCGGCCTCATCGGCTCCAGCGGCTCCATCGGCCTCATCGGCTCGATCGGCCTCATCGGCTCGGCTCCAGCGGCCTCATCGGCTCCATCCGCCTCACGGCTCCATCGGCTCCATCGGCCTCATCGGATCGAGCGGCCTCGGCTCCATCGGCCTCATCGGCCTCATCGGCCTCATCGGCCTCATCGGCTCCAGCTGCTCCATCGGCCTCATCGGCTCCAGCGGCTCAATCGGCAGCTCCATCGGCTCCATCGGCCTCATCGGCCTCATCGGCCTCATCGGCTCCATCGGCCTCATCGGCCTCATCGGCTCCAGCGGCTCCATCGGCTCCAGCGGCTCCATCGGCTCCATCGTCCTCATCGGCCTCATCGGCCTCGTCGGCTCCATCGGCCTCATCGGCATGTCTTTCTGGAAAGCCTATTGCGGCCCGAAGCAGACGGAATCAGTTGCGTCCATTTTGCGCCTATGATTGGCTTCGCTGCCTTTTGATTAGTATTGATCCATAGCCTCTTGGCTTGCGATATAGCCTCCAAGTGTCGAACGTACGGGTGGGGGTCCTCCAAGAAATAGACCTATTCGTCCATTCCTTTCGGAAGGATCTGTAGGCACGAATAGATCGAAATCCTTCGAAACCTATAAGATTCTGGGTCAAGCCCATGTGTTTGCTAGTCAAATCATGTTAAATCTCCCATGTTCTGGTTATCATCCCCATTTCTTGGGGCTGACCGACTAACATCGACTAACCGTGATCACCCCCTTGGTTAAGCATCCCGTCTCGACCACGGAGGAAGCGATCTGCGCAATCTCGCTACTGCGCTGCGCAGCGATCACCTGCCACCAGACTGTCTTGGCACCAGGAGTTTTAGAGGCAAAACACTGTAAAACCCAATAATAACCATAATAACCATAATAACCATAATAACCATAATAACCATAGTTTTTGATTATGGTTAATAATGGTTAATAATGGTTATTATGGTTAACTGACTGGTGTGGTTTTTGCACATAGCTGATTGATGCTGATTGGTTTTTGCAGCACCCAAAAAATGGAATCA